TGTGTGGGGAATGAATCTGAAGCCCACTGAAGACACAGCTGAGTGAGGTTTAGTTCAGGCATTGCCAAGCTTCTAAAGCAAGTATTCACGTGTTCATCACAGTCTACTTGACTGACACGCAAAGCTGTGAGGATGGAAATGAAAAGTGTTTTATGATTTGAGAATGAATCCCCCCGAGCTGTGATTGTGCAGAGTCTATTGTATCCTGGGAATGTAGTCAAGGGAGCATGGGCTCTTCCTGTAGGATCCGGCAGAGCCTCCCTGAACCCTTGCTATAGCAAGGCTTCCATGCCCTTTCCAGAACTCCCAGAGGATGCCACTCCACATATATGCAGATATTGAGGGAATTTATCTTTAAGGTCCTGATTTACATTCAGAACACTTCCTGATGAGTTTGCAGGTAGAGTTCATCCATCCTCACAAACCACCCCCAAAGCAGTGGTGTGGTCAGTCTTGGCCATCCAAGATGAGCAGATCAGGGAGACAATGGTCTGTGTATTTTGTGTATGTCAGAAATGTCAGCCCTGGGACATGGTGAGAGCCTATTCTCAGAATTTCACAGCTCCAGAAAAGGAAAATGCTTACTTACAGCAGACCAAAATCAGATGGATTTCAGCTGGGGTTGGTGCTTGCTTCGGCAGCACATATACTAAAATATAAGCTGGGGGTGGCCAGTGTGTGACATCTGCCTTTCCCTTTAGCTTACAATCACTACATCTTTGTGCCTTGACTTCTGAAATCTTCCCAGGCACCACTAATTGAGCAAGTTCACAATCGAAGTGAATCCTAGTACCAAACATCTGGAGAATAACTAGAAATCAAAGAGGAATCAACTGGCAGTTGGATCAACTAGAGGGAGATTGGGGCTTTGAACCATATTCTCAATTACAATTTTCAATCCTAGCCTCCATTAAATAAATTCCATCCTATAGAACACTAAGTGTACAATGAAACTTGGCATTTTTTTCTTTTTTCCTTTTTCCCCAAATTATTTTATCCCCTTTTTGGTATAAGAAGTGTAGTTTCCTCAGTAAAAAATCTAACAATTCCTTAGGTGTCACCCTTGATGACATCCCTCCCCTTGCCCCCATATCCAGTTTACCAGCAAGTCAATGCCCTCTCTAAAAGATGCCCATCCACTACTCCCCAACTTCATCGCCATCTGTTGGTTCAGGCCACGTCTTCTCTCCTAGATTCCTGTGACATCCTCTTTCTTAACTGGCTTCTCTACCTCCAGTATTGGCCTCTTCCAATCCATTCTCTATCCAGCAACACCGATGTTCTTAAAATGGAAGTCAGTTCACATCACTGTCCTTCTTTAAACCCTTTCATTGCTTTCTATTGCCAGAATAAAACCCAGCCTCCTCATAGCAGCCAGCAAGGCTCTGCCTATCTCACCTGCCCCATGGTCATCTCTCCTTCCTCTCTACAAAACATTCAATTAGAGATCCTAGACAGACCCATCGTAGCCCACGGCCTTGCACGTAGCAGGCAATATTTTATAGTGAATGCTACAGGGAAGGAAAACATAGGAAATAAACACAAAAAAGTATTATCATTTTATAGCCAACCAATTTGTTTTCCTCTTATGGGATTTCCAGGCAGACATATTCTAATCAGTTTTAGAACAATTAGAAATCTTGCTTTGAAGGCTGGGAAAACAGAAGTTGCATATTGAGAAGACATATATTGGATAGCCATATGCCCGGTATGCAGTTGGGTGCCCTGAGATACTTCAAACATTTGCGGTTGTCCTGCATGTGGCCCAGAGAACTTCCTCTCCTTCCAGTTAGAGAACAAGGCCCCTGAGAAATTGAAATGCAATTTTAAAAGAGTCCTTGGCCAGTGTAGCTATTTGCATTCAAAGGAAGTCATTTTTGAAGCATTCCTTTCAGAATTCCAATTAGGATTTAAGACAAACCCCCACATAAATGGAAAAGCTTTAAATTGAGGTGTAGAACCATATTGAGGTTACTAACTTAATAATGTTTGAGCCATCAAATAAATGTTCCATGGTACTTAGTTCATAACACATTTCAAGTTATGTCTGGGTTAGTTTGGGTTAATAGTCCCTTTAATTATTCTAATAAGGCTCACTTGCTTGCCAAGCCATATTCTCTCTCTATTTAGCCTCATCACACTACTGTATATTTTTTATGGGCTCCCTAAAATTGGTGCTAAGGGAGTCAGTTCTGTCCAGGGAAGAAGAGAGTTTACCTGTGACTGTGAATTCCTTCACTAGGTGGGCTAAGCCCTGGAGACAGAGCACAAACAAGGCACAGTTTCCACCTTGCAAGACGAGCCTATGGTCTGGTTATGGGTTAGCAGGTAATTAGCACGCAGAGTGTAAAAGGTTAGAAAAGGGGTTAAGACAGTGCAGCATGTTTGCAGGAGGCGCCCAAGAAGGTTGTGTTGAAGCTGAGACACGAGGAAAAGTCAGAATAAGCCAGGTAGAGCAGTGAGCATCCTCAGTAGAGGAAACAACCTGAGCAAAGACCTGGAAGCGGTGACCAGACAATGTGAGCATCGCAGATGCACGAGCCTCCGTTGGGTGGTTAGTCTCTGGGCCTCCATTTACCTGAGCTCCAGGTTCCTCTTCATCCCCTTTAGCTCACCTGTATAGCACACTTTTGTCATTCTCAGATTTAAGTTTCAAATGGGAAATCTTTAAGAAGCAACTCCCCATCTTAATCATTTATTTTGTATTTTGCTGAGAATAAACTTACATAATGAGAATGTTGTGAAGTGAAATGCACAGCTGATGGGAATGTAATTTTAAAGAAGTTTATTTTAATAACTTTCTGAATTACTTTAATCCTGGATTTATAAAATCATTTAGGGCCAGAAAGGTGGGCTTTAATTTTTTGTTTGTACTTTACTGCATTTTACTAGAATATAAGCTTCACAAGAGCAAGAACCTTTGTCTGTTTTGCTTCGCTGAAGTTTTCCGAGTGCCTAGAATGGTGCCAGGCACATAGGAGGCATTTAATAAATATTTATCGAAAGATATAATTAAGTTTATGGTGAATATTATATCCTATGGAGGTCCTCCACATCCTAGAATACCTTGACTATCAAGGGCCCATGGGGGTCCAAAGAAAGTGGGGACAGGGTTCCCTCAGAGTGGGTGTAAGTGCTTCTAACATTGCAAACAAACCAAGGTCAAGGCTGTTAAAAAAGAGGAGTGTGTGGGACAGAGAGAGAACATAAGGAGAAAAATAAAAGATCTCAATAAATTATTCTGTGCCACACAGTAATGTGCAGCCATTTCAAACATTCTCCATTCACAAGCCAGTTAAGAAAACAAGCCTAAGAGAAGCCCAAGGACGGGCGCCAACATTTCTGTGCCAGTAAGTAGAAAGCGAGGCAGCCTGGCCGCGCACATCGCTGCCTGCCGTGTCCCAAGGCTGCTCCTTGCTCCCAGCTCACCCTGGCTGGAAAGCGTGGAGGCTCAGACATCACCAGCACTCGTCTGAATCCTAAGCAAACTCCCCTGGCCTCTGGGCAAATCTTTCTGGTGCATGAACCCTTCAACCTCCTGCCACCGGGAGACTTTCTTCCATTCCCACCTCAAACCCCTAGGAAGCTTTTCTGAAACTTCAAAAGTTACTCGCTCAGACACTGCTTTGGTGGTTGGAATATAAATGTCCAAGAGTCTTGACATCGTCTATGGGGATCTTTAAAGAAGACTTCAAAGAAAGAGCTCTCCTGCTTTGAGAATCTCCCATATAAGAAATAAGTGAAAATAATTGCCCCTTTCCGCGTGTCTCTGATCTCATCCAGAGGGACCAGTTTATTAAACAGGCCTGCGAGACTGCCCGTGAATCCTCTCCCAGGCCTCTGCTGCGCCTGCAACTGCGGGTGCGAACTGGTGTTGTCACCAGCGTCACTTAACCTCATCCAAACAGCTCAGGCGATAGCACGTGGACACTGTCACTTGGAAACCTCACTTTATTCTTTGGGGGTGGACTATCATTTTCCTTTTATGAGTACTAAATCAGTTTGTATAAAGAAGAAAGTACCTTTTATGAAATTAAAATCTGAAGCAGTGTCTTAATTCTGGATATGGCACCTTCCCCCATTTTACAGAGTGTCATTATGCCGTGCTGTGTGTAGATTAGAGGACAACGTTGGAGTTAAAAGGAAAAGCTTAGAAGGCAGCCAGTGCCCACCCCTCCACAAAGGATAAGGAAACACAATGGCAGGATTTTAACTTCTGTTCTGAACCCCCACATAGGAAAAGGATTGAGGGAAAAAATGAAGCAAAGGCTCTGGGTCTCATCTTCAGCTTCCTTATCAGGAAAATGGGAGTAAGAACACCCACCCACAGAGCCTTGGGAGGATTAAGTGAATAACACCTGGAGAAAAACACAGCCCAGTTCCTGGCATATAGTAAGTGCTAAACAAGATAGTTAGCTTAGTTAGCAGCTAAGGAGGTAAACACGGTTCTGGCCCAAACAAGTGGCTCTCAATCCATGGCAGCTGCACATCAAAATTATCTGGGATGCTTTTTCAAAAATACTCAAGCCTAGGCTCAGCTGTGCACATTCTGAGTAAATTGGTCTGAAGTGGCACCCAATTTAGGTACAGTTGGAAGAATTCACAGAGAGAGAATAAAAATTTAAATATTATAGTAAGGTTTTAAAAGAAGCTTTAAGATGGGAATCTTGGCCAGGCACGGTAGCTCATGCCTGTAATCCCAGCACTTTGGGAAGATCGCTTGAGCCCAAGAGTTCCAGATTACAGTGAGTTATAATCAGCCACTGCACTCCAGCCTGGGCAAAAGAGCAAGGCCCTGTCTTTTAAAAATAATGACATCTTTTGTCAAAAGCAAGTATGTGGTTGCTGCGAAAAAGATAAATAATAATGACCAACCTAATGGACGTGAAGCAATTAGTAAGTCTTAAAAAGAGTGTTATGAAAACAACAGAGTTCCCATCTGTCCGGTATGGCTAGGGAGACTTGTTGACACAGCTGAGACACAGGAAAACACACCGAGATTAACAAGGGGGCAGTCATTTAATGCAGAAATCCAGTTAACATAAAGAGACGCAGGTTGAACAACAGCTAAGACTTCAAACACTACTGCATAGTGTCACGGATTAGCTCTTAAACATAGTTGATCTGTTTTCTTATGATTTCGATTCCGGTACAAAGACGGAGAAGAGACTTCAATTAAAAAAAAATATAATAAGGCCACAGAAGAATCTTCCTGTGACAAGGAACATCCACAAGTAATGCACGAATATTTGGTGCTGACACAACAAGACACCATTAGGACAAGTTCTGGAGATGCCGCATTGAAATTTAACAAGCTTGGTACAAGGACGAGAAAATTATACTCGCTTTGTTACGAATCCTTTTGCAAATAGAAATGACTCTCGGGTAATTGTTATATACAAACCTTCGGAAATAAATGGAAATCATACAAATTTTTCCATTGCAGTTTCCTCTTTTTCTACACCTAGAAATATTCCATGGCACTGCTCTCTCTCACAGTCAAAGCATAAATAGTCATTAAAGCACTTGAATCCACAGTAGTCTTGTCCTTAGAAAGGTTGGGAGGTTTTGCATGATTTTCTATCAGTCATCCAGAAAGGGCTGGCAGGCAACAGGTTGGAATGTAAAAGACCGCTTTGTGCTTCGAATCCGGACGTGAACTCGGCGCCGCTCCCCTCAGGGGTCGCCCGCACTGTGGACAGGCCCTGAGCGCGGACAGTCATACCGTGGAGTCTCTGCCAGACTTTAGATGTGCGATCTTGGTCCGGCTAATAAACGGATAAGCGATGCAGAGACCTCCAGCTGCCACAATAAAGCCCAAACTGCACCAGGCGCAAAAGATAGACCAGCTGTAGCCATGTTCCACATCAGCGGGCAAGCTATAAATTAGCTTCGGGAGCCGGTTCAAATCATAAGAGACACTGGCGGCGTAAGTACAGAGGGAAATGGTGCAAAATATCCCTATAAATAATACAAAGAGAACAGAATGATTAGTTACAGTTTGGTCTGCTACAAGGCAAATGCCAGACAGGCCTTTATGAAAAGCAGATCAACCAGTGAGGCAGTCACTCCAAATTCATAAAGGCTCTATAATTCTTCTAGTTGAATTAATTCATTCGCCAAACACTGACAAAACTTCTATGTGCCAGACCCTACGCTAGGCATTGGAGATATAGGAATGAAAAGATAGGCAGGGAAATTCCGGTAACTGGAAGTATTCAGAATTATCTGGTTTGAATGGCTACGTATATTTGAAATTAGTTTTGCTTTTTAGTCTTAACAACAATTTAATAAAATTCTTAATATTCTTAAGAAAAAAAGTCTTCTATAATCACTCAAACCTAATACAAAATAGTTTTCATTTTCCTTTGTTCTATACCTGATTCGATACATTTTTATATAGTTGCAATCATTAGACAAAATCTGCTTTTTCAGTTATTATCGTAAGTATGTATCATGTTGCCTGTAAATAAAATTTTAAATTAATTCATACACGTGGCTAAACCTTTTTTTAAAGGTCTGGCATCTACTAGGGCCTCAACAAATGGGTTTTGTTTTTTTTTAATAAATGAATGCTTTTAAACATTATAAATTAAGACCAGCAATTTGGAATTGATGTAAAATAGCTAACGAGGCCATATATTTTAACCATTCAAAATGTAGGCAATTGGGGTGACATAAGAAAAATGGACAGACCTCACATTTTACTTTTTTATACCAATACATGTATGTATAATTGACCTTCTAGAATACTAAAATCAGGACTCTGATGAAAATGCTTCATAAGCCCAAAACACAGGATGTTTAGTACTCAAGTGACACTTTAAAGATATAGATGCTTCTATTTCCCCACAAGGGACCTCCAAGGATGCTTCTTTTGGATGGGCATGGGATCAGAATGAGGCAGTTGCTAAGTCGAAGGTAGGCAATCAACACGGAAGCTGACACCCAAGCAAGGGTCAGGATGTCCAGTTCTGTTCTGAATCCTACACATCTCTTCCTGTGTACAAGGAAGACTGTATCTATTTGCTGGAAAATTGCTTTGGTATCCTTAGGGACACATGCAGCATCTCCACCGGAAACAGGAGCACAGATTTTGGAACTGAAAAGAGACAGCTAAAAGTAGCAAATTCCCCCCTCTTTTTAACCTACAGCTCCGGAGATCAGAAACGCTAGCAGAAAAACAAATTCACAGCAGGCAGCAATTTGGAGGAAATAAAGATCACCTTAATGCCATTTTTAAAGTGTTAGAATTCTGCCTCCATTCGAGTCATGTAAGGGCACATTGCCTGAATCCTTTTCTAAATGTGAATTTAGAAAATAAATGTTCTAAATTAAAAGCACACTTGATCTGAGATAATTTGATATTTCCCACCCTTTGCCTAATTCTGTAATTCTGTTTTTCTAAAAAGGATAAAATCTTATTCCCACTCTTTGCCTAATTCTGTAATTCTGTTTTTCTAAAAAAGATAAAATCTTTTCTGACTTCTTGCTCCAATTTACTACAACAAACATATCACTCTGAGTTCTCCAATAAAAAAGATAGATGAAAATAATTCCTTCATAAAGGAATAGACTATTCAAAAAAGAATACTCCACTGCTTTTTTTCAAACCTTGTGAAAATCAAATGTTCTTACATCTACATGAATGTTTTCACTGGCACCAAAACAAAAATGGTGTTTATATATAACAAGGCCCTTTTAATGAATGCTGGTAATAGAACAATATTAGGCATTTAGAAAAAATTGATCACTTTGGAGTATCAACAGGTAAAATATAACAATAGAACAAGGACCTATTCACAGGAGAAACAACTCTATTCTGCATTTAGCTTTCTGCATACAGCTGAATGCCTAAAAGCAAGCATTTTTACAAGTAACATGGTTTCAATGACCTCTGAAAGCTTGAGTTCAAACTTGGACTTTTAAGCATCCTTTGATGTCTAAATGCATTGGATTGGGAAGCAGAAAATAGGTATTCTAGTTTCCAGCTCTACTAATCACTGTACAACCTTGAAATTATTATACCTAACCTTTCCGAGCCTTAGTTTCTTTAGCTAGAAAAAAAATAAGAGACTTGGTCTAAAAGTGTCAAATTTCTGTGATTTGGTAATTCCAAAGTAAGGCATGGAACAAGAATACTTCTTAAAACTTCCTAGTACATCTAGTACTCAGTATTATGCAATTAAATAAAAATGGAATGTCCTATGTATTAATATTTATCCTTATGCATATACTCCCTCTGATTTTATACTAAACATTGATTTTATTAGCACCTCTCTCCTGCCAACCCCATAAAATCGCTTTTGGTGAAATGGATTTTAGCATTACACCACCGGTTCATGCTGAATAGGAAAGGATTGTAAGAAACAATTTAATCTGAAGATTTAACCAGGATGAAGATTTCTCTCTGCCCTCAATGTCATGAATTATGTGCTTTATCAGAGTAATTGGTTTTTGCTTACCTCATGTACGCTGTGAATGATGTCACTAATAGAATTTCTTTCTTTGTCCAAGTTGCTGTGGAACTGTAGTTCCCTAAAGCTAGATCTGCAGCCCACCATGAGCAAAACTATGGGATTTCATGACATGCTTTCTGCTTCTAATCTCACTCTTGGATCCATATTGCCTTGCAAACCTGATTGTCCCTTTGTCTTATTTTTATTATTTATTTGAATTTATCTTATTGTGAAATTTTATATGCATCTCTGTGATACTGAAATCCTTTATGGAATAGGGTACCTATCATTTCATTTGATGAAAACTGCTTAATTTCCTGTTGCCTTTATTCACTCACCTGAGCGGGAGAGCCCCACTGGCCCCCAAAGACATCCCCTCTCTGCCCTTCCCCCTTCCCACAAATGCCCCCACACTCTGTCCTTCTGAAACACCTTTTCTCCTTCCAAGAAAGACACTCTTGAAGTTGTTCTTCATAAGAGGATAGATGAGAAGGAGACATTAATAAGAAGAGCATATCTAAGAGCTCCTCCTTTTCAGACTCTCACATCTCTAAGAAAGTTTGCAAATACATAGCTGCCATGCCACAGCTGTTATCTGTGGGCTGGGCAGGAGTGTTTGTGATGATTACAAGGAAATGTACTGACAGGAGACAAAGCATTGTTCCTAACTTTTCCAACTAGCTTTTGTAAAAGAAGCCCAACCGGTTCAAGAAATTTTTAAAAGAAAAAATTCCTTCTAAATTTGAAGACATCGAGAAAAGGTGTTGCTTTAAATGATGAAAGCATGCTTAACTGTAGCTGGATTCATAGTTTTAGGTCAGTTTTGAGACTATGAAACTCTATTTTAGGTTCCATATGCACATCTTACAGTACTCGCACGTATGAGTTTGCTAGGCCTTTCATAACAAACTACCACAGACTGGGTGGCTTAAACAACACAGATTTATCTTCTTATAATTCTGGAGGCTACAGTCTAAGATCGAGGTATAGTTTCTTCTAAGGCCCCTCCCTTTGGCTTATAGATGGCTGTCTTCTCCCTGTGTCTTCACACAATCTTTCCTCTGTAACTGTGTTCAAAGTTCCTCTTGTCATGACCATGCTGGTCATATTGGGTTAGGCTCCACCATAATCACTTCATTTTATTAATGACTTCATTTTCTCTTTAAGACCCTATTTCCAAATATGATCACATTCTGAGGTCCTGGAGGTTAAGACTTCAGGAAATGAATCTAGATAGAGACACAACTCAGCTCATAACATCATATGCATTTATGTGTGTGTGTGAGTATGTGTAACTATGAATATATTCTATCTCTTTTTTTTTTGGTGATTCTTACTTTATTGGATTTTTGTATTAAATGAGATAATATATGAGAAAATCCCAGCTACACAGTGACCACACCATAAATATTGGCTATCACCATTATTATTTTGTAGTTTTTACAGTTCTTTTACATACACTTGTTTCTTTAAATCTTCACAACATCCTGTTAGGTAACTGTAATAGATTTTATTACCCTTGTAGGAGGAGTTGCCCAGAGCCTAAAGCCTGGTGTTCTTCCAAATCCTATTCTCTTCCTTCTGTGGAGTACAGCCTGTCCCTACAATATCATCAGTTTGGGGAAAAAAACAAGAAACAATGCTTGCGACGGAATTCTCTTTTTAGAGGTCTTAGCAAGACTGTACTATTTTCAGTGTTATTTAATCAGTTATTCAAAAAATATGTATTAATTATGTCCCAGACCTAGTTCTGATTATATTAGGAGTAGTTGAGTTTGATGAGTTCTTGTGGGTCACAGCCAAACTGGGTTTGACATGCTGGGGTTAGGAACCTGAAGTGTTCTTTCCACTCCACTTCCCGGTATGCATCTCAGGGAAGGGTATTCATAGTAGGGACTCCTGAGACTCACTGTACGTTTCGCACAAAGTCTGACAGAGCTGAGCGCATGGAGGCAAGAAGAGCTGCTGAGCAAAACTGAGTTCTGCAAGACACTTGTGTTCTACTAACCTAAGAGCCAGCTCATCCCAAATGATCCCAAGTAGGACTTACTACCTATGTAGCAAGTTATTTTAGACAATGCTGCATTTTAATCAGTAGCAATCTAATCAATGTGAGGTATGTGAAGGAAAAGTATGAAAAGATTAATAAGGTACCACCCCTGCATTCAAAAAATTCAAAATCCAACAGTGCTTCCTGGAGATCCCTGGGCAGAAAGGCTGCTTCTCCTCCATTCTCCTCTGAGGCTCCCCAGTCCCCTCCACTTCTCCCCTAACTGATGCTCTCCAGCCCAGCTGGTGGCCCCGGGAGACAGAGAGGTTCCCAAGTCCCAAGCTTGGTCCTGGCTACTGCTGGTAGCATCTTCAAAAAGAGTGAATAATTACTGGCTCCCTGACAAACCCTGTATGCAGCTACTGTTCTTATAAAATATTAAATGGTTTTCTGCCAATATCCTTGATTAGAAGATACCATGATATCACAGGATTACAGGGCTGGAAGGGATA